CTCCTGATCTCTTGTTTGTTGGTAGAGATGAACCCGGAATCGGAGAGGAAGAATTTTATATTCTATCTCATAGTCTCTTGTTTGTTGGTAGAGATGAACCCGACCCAGGAGAGGACGAATTTTATATTCTATCTCTTGGTCTCTTATTTGTTGGTAGAGATGAACCCGACCCAGGAAAGGAAGAATTTTATATTCTATCTCCTAGTCTCTTGTTTGTTGGTAGAGATGAACCCGGATGATGGAGAGGAAGAATTTTATATTCTATCTCCTGGTCTCTTGTTTGTTGGTAGAGATGAACCCGATGATCGGAGAGGAAGAATTTTATATTCTATCTCCTGGTGCGAAGGAAAACTCCAAGTGGGATCTCTACTTAGAGAATCTGGATTGGTTTGAATAATCTTAAATGTCACAAGGTTTGATTATTCAACTAAAAGTGGACCTCTCGTTCATAGAAGGAATCGAGAGGGGATTTTGGTTGTGGTCCTAACTGAGTAAGGTTTTGACCATGTGGGAGTTTTGGGACGATCCTAACTGTTTAAAGGTTTGATCGTTCAATTTGTGGACCTCTCGTTCATTGAAAAAATCGAGAGGGGATTTTGGCTTTGGACCTAACCGTTTAAAGGTTTGACTAAATGGGAGTTTGAGAGGGAAAACTAATCCAACGAAGTGATCAAATCTCATCTCAACATAGGAGTATTCAGAAATCACCGTGGGGATGTAGTGTTTATCACTTTGTTTGTAATGATCGGGTTATCCTTAAGAATATTACATTTAACATTCTTCTGGAAACTTCCCGTTACATGAATTATCCACCCCCAGCTTTCTTTGCAAAACTGGGTGTAACGAGGAGTACGTTATCCTCAGTTGCATGTTCGGGTTATCCTTAAGAATATAAGATTCTCTAGGAACTTCCCGTTACACAAATCATCCACCCCCAGCTTCCTTTGCGAAACCGGGTTTAACATTGTACTTAGTTGGATGACCGAGAAGCAGTTTATACTCATATACTCTTTGGAGTGTGGGAAAGCAGTTTATACTCATGCACCCACTGGAGTTTGGGGTCGTCTTTATTTGGCTTGTTTCGCCATTATGACGCCGGAGTCAATTAATGCTTGGATCTTATTTTTGAGTCCAAAGCAAATATTGGTGGGATGAAGAATCCTTCTGTGGTATGCACAGTAGTTTGGATCTGTAATCATCTTAGCACCCTCCTGATCTTTAATAGGCGGTAGCTCGATTTTATCATTGGCGAGGAGGTATTCTAATATGGTTGGAGCTTCATCATCTTGGAAAGAATACTCTTTTTGGAACCTCGGATCGGGGTTCGTGTTCCCAGTGATTGCAGATGTCATCGGTTGGCTTCTCTCAGCTTTCTTTCTTTTAAGAAAATGTTCAGCTTGTTCACCGCGCATTTTCAAATCTTTCCAAGTTTTGGATGGTACGACCCCCAGGGCTTCCAGGACATCGATAGAGAGATTATTGTGGCATGTTTGCAGGATGAACTCCTCTGTAACAGGATCTCTGCAATTCATTGCCTTGTTACGGAAGCGCTTGACAAAATTGTCGACTGACTCCCCGTCTTTTTGTTTTTCATCCAGAAGGGTTCCGATCGACACTTCGGTGTCATCATCGAAGAAATTACTGAGGAACAAACTTTTCATGTCATTCCAGCAATTGATGCTCCCTGGCTTGAGACGTCGGTACCAATCGAAGGCGGGCCCACGAAGGGTGCTAACGAATGACCGGACCATTAAAGCCTCATTTCCAGAGATCATGCCCAAATGAGACTTAAAATAATTCAAGTGCTGAGTAGGCGAGCTCTTCCCGTTAAATGGTGTGAAGTTAATCATGTTGAATTTTGCCGGGTACGGTATTGAATTCCATTCTCTTGGATAGGGACATGGAATACCTGTCTTTTTCACTTCTTGAGCCGTCATCAAAGCGTTGATTTTGTTTTCAAGATTTTTCATTTTCTCGTCACTGTCTATATCTTCATTCGAAGGACGTTGAGGAGAATGAGTTAGACCATCCCCTGTAAGAGGTGCCATTGAACCACCCCTAATATCGTTATTGGGAGGATGTGTTAAACCACCCCTGTAGGCTGTCTAAAAATCACAATAGATAGTTGATCCCCCATCAAACACCGATGATGGAAGTTACAAGCGAGAGATGGGCTTGTTTGGGAGTTGAAAACGGCAAGGTTCTCTGCGTTTGGACCTAAACTCTGCGTCTTAAAGATGAGACGCAGAGTTAGGCGTTCGCTAGGAGTCGAAACGACACAGGCCACATTGGGCTTAACTCTGCGTCCAAGACTTAGGACGCAGAGTACAATTCTATTGGATTTGAACGCACAGGCGCATGCGTTCTTGAAATATAGAAACGCAAGGTCCACTTGGTAGGTTGAGGATCACTCTGCGTTCAGAGTTTGGGATGCGCAGTCGAGTCTGTCGAGAACGCACATTTACTGTGCTGCGTTTCGTGATTTAACTCTGCGTTGAGAGTTCGACACCTGCTAAGGAACGCACCACCTTTGTCTGGCGTTTTACGATTCCAACCTCTGCGTTACAAGTTCGACGCCTGTTTAGGAACGACAACTTGTCTGCGTTTGAGAGAGATTGTGCTTACCTCAGTCTTATAATTGCAATGCTTGCTTATTGGTCTTTGCCTATTATAAAATATGAAGAGTCGTCAGATTGTACTCCCGATGTTGATTGTGAATGTGGTTGAATTAGAGATTTCATCAGTTGTCGTGAAGGTTCGTCAGATTGTAGCCTTCTACGTGAAAGTCCTCAAATTGTAGCCTTCTGGAAGTCGTCCAGATTGT